AAGGACAAAGAAAAGAAGTAGTTTAATAAAATGCTCTCTCATTTATGAAGATCTTACAAAAAAGGAAGTATTTATAAATAAGTATTATTTACATACCAGATTGAGTCCATCAAGTTCAGCCATACAATGATGGAGGAGAAGCAGGTAGTTGAGCCCCATGCCTGCAAAGAGGCATTTGTTGGAGCAAAATAACCAATTATGTACTTTGATTGATATACCCTATTTCACATGCTCAGAAATTTCCAAAGGGAGCCTGCTCTGTGATTTAGTATCTTTGTTTGCCATCATGATGACAAACCTTGGCAACCATTCCACAAAAGAAGAATCTGGTCTACTTCAGAGGAAGCATTTCATAGTTCCTCTCAAACAAAGCATAAGCACAGCAAGAAATGGAATTTAAGTGGCACAAAGGAGAAAATGAAAAGCTCAGTTATGTACTGATGTGGTTGCTTTTAACAAGAGGGTTACTGGTTTTGATTGCCAAGTAATACAGAAACAGAATTAACACTAAACTAATCTATGAAAGCTCATGCCTCTCTGAACAACTTAGTTTGCAAGGTGACACGTTGCCCTGTCTCCTGCACATTCACAGCTACTCCCTTTTCTAAAGTGCTCTTTTTCAACTAGTATAAATTAAAATCCACAGGCTTGAATTATTTTCAAAAGAAAAGAAAGGCTGTCACACAATGAAGCATAAGTCAGAAGGAATATATACTTAAAAGGATTTCAAACAACAACTTCTGAAGTTCTTTTTATCCACTAAACATCTTCCTTCAGATATCTGGAAATTTACAGGAATCAATTATATGTTGGCTATCCTACTACTCCCAGAATAACATTAAGTAATTCAATTCAATTCAATTCAATTCATTAAGGATTCTGGCTAAATATGACCATAATATAATAATACAAGTAAGTTCGAACAAAGTAACCAAACTACAAACATTATACTAAAAATAGAGCCCACGGACAAAAACCATTATTAATATAAATATAGTAGTAAATCAAGACATGAATCTATAATATTGTTGTACACAGATCCACAATTGAGACCAAATTAAATCTAATGTTAAAATGTATCACTCATATCAGTAATAAAGGGTATTTAACTCTAATTATAATAAGTAATGATACCTAAACAACCATTAAAGTTGCATTAAAGAGCTATTGTGATTATTTAAAGCTAATATCAAATTCACATGCACACAGATTCTAAAAAACAGTGTACAAGTTTGACTGTGGTAAAAAGAAAAACTGGTCAAAACTGTTTGCATAAATGTTACGATTACATTATGTGAATCTTAGAGCCCATAAGGGTATGCACAAATGATAAAATTAAAAGCAAATTAATAGGGGATATGAACTTAATGCAGAATTGACTCATAGAAAGGTCTCATCCCCTGTTCATCCTCCCCTTCATTCCCACCCCCATACAAAAGTAAACTGAAGTTTAAGCTAGTATGCAATCACCTCTATATACACTAAACAAACGCATGTAAATCAAGACAAAAATGGTTTTTGAAATCAAATAAGTGTATGTTGTAGTAGATGTTTCATTTGCTTTAATTTTACTATTTCTCCATACCCTAGATTTGGCTAATAAGACAGAAAAAAAGCAGCAAGTAAAAAGCATTCCTAGACAACAAGAGACTCCAGAACACAGGAGAAGACAAACACCTTGTACAACATATGAACAGCGCTTCTTAAAATGATTAATAGCATCAAGATGAATCATATCATCTTGCATTAACCTTTATAACGTATTAATTTTCTAGTTTAGACTAAAAACATGCATTTATTGTTTACTGTAGAACTACAAAGTTGCAAAAAACAAGCTTTTAAAAGTTTGTGTGAGAGAAGTTTAAATTTTTGGAATAGAATATCCCCAACACACAAGTCATATCCTTTGCAAGAACTTTACAGAAGGGCACCACAGACAGAGCTTGTCAGAATTAACTGACATCTAAATTAAAATGATAAAAATATGATTTTACATAGGAATGTAGGCCTGGATGACCCAACATGAGTCACAGGCAATTGCAGAATAAAAAACCTTTTCATAAACTTAGCAAGTTCCCTTAAAAATAAATCATTTTCCTCTACTGATGTTCAAAAGCTGTTTGAGAACTTCACTGTGTTTGGAAAACTAATTTCCAGCCTAAATTTATGCATGGCCAGTTTATACCCATTTGTTCTAGTGCCAGCATTGTCCATTAGCTTAAAGAGCATTTCTTCCTCCCTGTTTACTCCTGCTGAGATCCCAAAAGAAAACAATTAGATCCCCCCTCAGCTTTCATTCTGCCACGATAAACAAACCACGCTCTTTTTGTCTTTCACATCACAGGCTCTCTATTCCTGATAATCCTTGCCCTTTTCTACACCTGTTCCAGTTTGGATTCATCCCTCTTAAACAAGCACGACCAAAAATTACACAAAGTATTCTAGACAAATACTTCCCTTCTCACTACTGGAAATACTTCAACTGATAAATATTAAAATCTAATTTTATTTTCATACCTCACCACACTGATGGCTCATAGTCACTCTGTAATCTAACACACAAAGGTCTTTCTTGTATTCTGTTATTTCTAGGTAATGAATCCTTAGCTTATAGAAGGAAATTCTTATAATTGCACGTTATAGTATGGTAATAAACCTGGCACTTTGTGCTATGTAATATTTCAATTCTGTTTCTCTAATACAGGGGTGGGCAAAATACAACCCGCAGGCTGCATCCAGCCGGTGCCATTTGGCCGGCAGGGCTCCTAAAAAAAAAAGGTATAAAAGTATTTATTATTTGTCCGTGGCTGCCTGTCTAAGCTGACTAGGCATCAGCAGTGGCAGGAACCAGGAGAAGCCAGCGGCAGGACCCAGGGGCAGCAGTACCAAGGCCCAACTGGCTCCTGGTGGGCAAAATACAACCCGCAGGCTGCATCCAGCCGGTGCCATTTGGCCGGCAGGGCTCCTAAAAAAAAAAGGTATAAAAGTATTTATTATTTGTCCGTGGCTGCCTGTCTAAGCTGACTAGGCATCAGCAGTGGCAGGAACCAGGAGAAGCCAGCGGCAGGACCCAGGGGCAGCAGTACCAAGGCCCTACTGGCTCCTACCCCCCCCCCCAACTGGAAGCCTCTGCCTAGCAGAGGCTTCTGGCCTGGTGTCCCTTGCGTCCCCCGCCTCCCTCTGCCCAAGAGTGCAGTTAGGTAAGGGGGGGGGGAGACTGCCAGCGATCGCCCCAGTCTGTGGAGGCTGGTCTGGCTTCTGCTACGTTCTTGCAGCTGGGAACCATGCACTGCTGGAGCAGCAGGCAGGTGGGCAGGGGAGAGCAGGCGGTAGCAGCGGGAAGGTGGGGAAATGGTAGTGGCAATGGTGGCAGCTGGAGGGAGGGGCGAAGTAGCAGCAAGAGTGCAGGCAGAAGCACAGCAACAGCTGGGCTGGAGTACAGGGTGGAAGCATGGATCCACACTGGTCAGAGCCCAGGGCGGAAGAGCAGGAGCACAGAGCCTGGGCTGGCAGGGGCTCTCTGGAGCAGCAGGAGCCAGCCCGGCCCCTGTGATTCCTGGCTGGCTCCGGCACCACACAGTTCCTAGCTGCATGGCCAGGACTGCACAGGGACTTGCTGGGACTGCACACTGTCAGAGGTCTCTGCCTGCTGTGGGCCATGAGCACCCCAAGGCCCCGAGTAAATCAAGACAAAACTATTTTTTGAAATCAAATAAATGTATGTTGTAGTAGATGTTTGGTTTGTAGACTATAAATTTGTTTTTTTTCTGGTTCAGATTGGTCAGGGAGCACAGAGTACACAGCAGAAAGCACAGCATCACATGAGGTGGAGGAAGGGAATCAGAATAGCAGTTGAGCGTGCAGGGCTAAATTATAGCACACCTGCCAAAAAGGTTGGCTCCTGATGTATTACAACATGCACTAATTAAAAGTTTAGTTAGTGCATTCTACCTTAGAGTAAAGGAGGGAACCCTATGCTTCTCTTGTCCTAGATTGCCAGTGCTACAGTGGAATATTTTTACATTTGCTAAATATAAGAACAAAGTCATGACCCTAAAACTTTCAATCTGAGGTTCTATGGGGCTCATATGAACTCTCCTTCCCTTGCATATAACCCTATTATGCTCGTAGTTGTATTAACCTGTATAGCATTTAGATCCTAAAGCATAATTCTCCAAAGCAAGATGCCACAAACAAGCCATCAGTTCAGCAAAATATCACTGCCTGAGGAATATTTAGGAAAAGATAGATAAGCCAATGACTTTATGGATGAACTAAGAAATGAGTTAAGAGTCTGGGATGGAAGATCACAGAAGATTACTAACATGAGATAATATTTCCAAATATGACACAAACAATATTTTACTTTAAGGCAGATGCCACCACATGTGGTAGAACTGCTTCTTCAAATATAATATCCAAATAAAGTTTTACTGTGTGCTCTCTTTCTCAAGAAAAATACTGTTTTGAAAATAAGTCACACAAAATACAGATGCTAATCTAAATAAAGAGAAGTGGTTCTTCCATAGCAAAACACAGAAAGTAGCAGTGTACTTAGAGAACATGCCTGGTAAAAAATGGCAAGGGACAAGAATATTTCCCTGCTCAAGATTTGTTTTTGTAAACACCTGTACTGAAAAAAAAACTGAATTAGGAGTCAAAAGGGTGTCTTTCCATAAAGCTGCTAAACTCTCGCTGAACTATACAAAGAAGACGACATCTTGGGAATATTGAAAAAGTGCAAGGAAAATAGGAACAAAGAATGTAAAAAGAAATAAGAATCCATGCCTTTACTGGAACTGTCTACCACTTGCTTAATAACAACTGACAGCATCTCAGTCTACAATGGTGATAAATTAAAATGGATATTAAAATAGACTTAATAGTTTGGACATTCAAATTTGTAAAGTACTAGAATTAAAATTAATTCACAATCAAACCCAATATTTTGGCTTTATTTTCTCCTGGTCATTATTTTTCAGTTCTGAATGAGAAGTTACCTCTTCTTTCAGTGCATGTTTCTTCTGTTCCAAACAGATTTCTTTTGCACGCATCAGCTGCAATGTCTCCTTAGAAACTGCATATTGCAGCTTTTCCATACGTTCCACTGCTGCTGCCCATGCTGCCTTACCAAACTTTTTCTGATCTGCTCGCATTCGATCATATACAGCTGTAAGAAAGATGACGAAAAATATTTTACAACTTTATTTTATATTACTGGTGTATGCAATTATAAAGCAAAACATGTTTTAAATTGCACCACCACCACATACACAAACTCCCTTGTTATAACAAACTAATTATTTGACATGAAATCACATTTTATGTATGTTATTGTTATCAATATTGCTATATGTAGTTCCACATCTGCTTCAGTTACTGTTAGTATCTGTTATTAAGTAGGATGAAAAATATTCCAGAAGTTTGAAACGGAGGTAAGATTTATGAAATTTAATTCTCAAATCAGATCTGAGCTCCTGGCAACTGCAGAAGCAGTCTGAAAGTCAGCTAAATTTAAGAACCCTAATTTGTTTTTCATTTGTTTCATTTTAGACCCTAATTGCATTAATAGTTCATCCTCCTCCACAGAGATTCCTTGTCCGCTGCGCAAAGGCACACCTGTACTGGCCAAAATTCCTAGTGTTCACAAGTATACTGGCAAAAATGAACCTTTACATTATGTCAGTAGAACTGACTCCACCCCAAGAATACTATAGTGCCCCAAGCATCTGCTGCTGCTGCCAGCAGCAGGGCCTGTGTGCCATGGAGGGGAGTGTTTGGGAGGTCCCCTCACACCCACACCCTGCCTCCACAACCCCCACATATATATCCCCAACATACCCTATGCCCCACCACATGCACAGCCACACCCCCTCACATACACACCCCAAACACAGTACACAAGAGTAAGACTTGATTTGAGCTATTATGCAATCACCTCTATATACACTACACAAACACAAATCATGACAGAAATATCTTTTTTAATAAAATTAAAATGTGTTATAGTAGGTGTTTGACTTTCAATATATGATTTGGTTTTTTTCTGGTTTCAAGATGGCATCCCCTACCTCCCAAAAAAAGTACTTCTGGGGCAAGGGGAGGGACATCCTGTACCAAAAGTGAGGGGTTAGGGGTGGGACTTCCAGTCCAAGATGGTGACCGGGGGCGGGTCACACGTCAAGGGGTGGGGCTACCCTTGCAGCCCTCAACAGCTCATCAAAACTCATTAAGCGACCCTCCAGCCAAAATAACTGTCCACCCCTGATCTAAGCCTTTATTTAAATACTACTACCTGTACAACTACAACAATTTAGGAACAGATCCTCACCTTTTGTAAACCAGGAGAACTATACTGCTCTACATTTTTCATACGTTAACTGCCTAAGTCAGTAAACAGCCTGAAATAATGTTTCACTACAGACTTCTGTTGGCATAGCTACAATCTTCAGATGTGAGATCCCAAAAGGCACAGCTGTACTAGTCAAAATTCCTGGCGGTCATATAATTATACTGGCAAAACTGCACCTTTACATTATATAAATAGAACTGACTCCACCCCAGGAATACTACCAGTGGTAAAGGTAGACAGATGTTCCTTCAGCAATAGAATCTCAGTGTGAGCTGCCCCACTCATATCTATGGAGTATTAAATTTAAACCCTTACAGTATGGATTTAGATATCAAAATTAATGATTTTATTGCTGAGCATTTTAGCACAAAATTTCCAATTATTTCCATGTGGGGACCTACCCCATGTGACTCCACTTCCACACAACAGCATGAAGAGCAGAGTGATTCTAACTGCTTAATACCTGGGTACAACCTCCAGCTATAGAACAGCAATAGCTATCTGTAATCCTAATGCACATCTCATTTTCCCAGAAGCCAAAATCCCAAATGACATCTACCAAACCCCGTTTTTCTAAATGATTTCTATAATGCAGTTATCTATTTGATACAAATCAACAGCACAACAAAAATTATGAGTCAAAGGGCAGTATAATAGTACACTTGATATCAAGTGGAACTCCATGATGAATATTTTACTGACTGCACATTTATTGTAACAAAATCACCAATTTTTAAAAATCTGAAACTGCTAGAGAAGGACAGAGAATTAAGTTCAAGTTAACCAAGCAGAGTACAAGAAACTCTGAAATATCCACATGAATCAGAATTTCTTCAGGAAACCAGCAGAATAGCAGAAATCCTTTGCCTGATTAACGAAGACTTATTCCTAAGCCCCAGCCAGGTCTTATGCAAAGACAGAGGAGGCTTTCACCAATTGAAATAAGCAAGAAAATCACATGATATTATTGCATACCTTTGCTAAGCAAAACAGGTTGAAATATATCCACAGATACAGCATTCAGTCTCAGGTGTTTAGAGCAGAGGTTCCTCAATTAGGGATAGCTTGAGGGGTAGGAATATGGTTATGGAATACAGTAGGCAAAAAATATGGTTCTTTTCACCTTGCTTCCTCCTTTAGTACTCATTTATTATTATCATTACAGTACCTAAAGCCATTCTGTGCTGGTAAGGTACAAACAACAAAAAATGGCCCCAAAGAGCATACCATCTAGGGCAAGAGACAGGCAGGCAGAAATAGAAAGAAATGAGACAACAGTGGTCTGTTGTGATCATCACTGTTTGTCATGTAAGGACTTAAGGTTGCCAAGGTTCTCCTAAAGGAAAAAAAAAAAAAAAAAAAAAGGAAAAAAAAAATCTCTGTCCTCAAAATCAGCAGCAAGTCAGTTACACTATATAATTTTCTTTCAGTTGGCTTGCTTTATGGTTTACAGTTTTTTCTGTACTAGAAAAGTTAAACCGTTTCACCTACTCAACTGAAAAAGTTGGGTCTAGTTTGGAATTCTCAA